CATACTTCACCACGCTGGTCAGTGTGGATTGGTGAAGGGAGCACAGTTTGTCTCACCTCACACTGCGTACTGGTTTGGGATTTATTATCCAAGTAGAGCTTCTCAGGCCATCATTCAGCAGTGGATCGATCATGACCGATGATCCAAAATTATACAGGGGGTGGGGGGGTCAATCACATTCGCCTTCTTCGTGATTCGATCCCAGAATGTTTTTTTCTTCAAATAGTTGGTGAATGTAGCTGCCTCTCGCGGCTGGGGAAGATCACGTGGCATCCATTATACATACAAAATATGTATACAGATGTAGTGACATTGAATGAGTCACTGTAGCGCGTGGCGCTGGGAGATTGGTAGACAATGGAATTATGGGTAGCAGCGCGTTCTACCAGTTGGACCCGTGGGCCAAGCCCGGAGCCTTCTGGGGGATCCAGAAGGGGGCGTGGCCGAGGGCGGAGCCTGGCCACGCTGGGGAGAATAAAAGGCGAGTTCCGACTCACAGTCGGGGCTGCTGCCATCGGGAATGGAACTCGCCGTGTTGCCGTCGTCGCGGTCTTCGCTTCTTCAAGCTGTGGGTCTGGAAGCATGTTGGCTGTCCCGACCCGGTGTCCCGACCTGGTATGGAGTTATCCCCTATGGCTGTGATAACGCCTCCTACTAGTGTCTCTAAATTAGTACACTACACATGTGTAGCGTCCTCCTCGGTGTGTGTGTGTGGTGCACACACTCAGTCGGAGACGAGGTAGTTGCAGTAGGCATCGTCTCTCTCTCTCTCATTATTCCGTTATACCAACTCCGGCCTCCTCTCCCATGACCACGCTGCCATACAGCCCGGCCTAGACATCGACGGCGTCGACCGAGACGGCCAACAACTGTCCGGCCACGCAATGATCAGGCGAAGGCGGCGACGACGACGGTGAAGACGAGACGAGTCCACTCCCAGAACCGGCAGTCCGGAGCTCTCGGGCTCTCCGCTGCTTTTATTCCCTTCTCGAACCCACCAGAGGGTTCCAGGGGGCTTCCCGATGAGGTCTTCCGTGACCCTTGCCCCAGTTCCTCCGCCCTGCCGGCACACACACCGTGTATTTGCTCGGCGGCGTGTGCACTCACTGTCCACCGCAGTTGCCGCTGCTGGACGGCAGTCGGCGCTGTATCGCTACACATGTACCACTACGTGCACTTGTTCGACCTCCACGCGTTATTAGCGCTCATGTTTGGATCTCGCCCCGAGGCCCCACGAGGACCCTCTATAATAGCGGCACTTGTTGTTGTTGGTATTGTTGTTGTTGTTGTCAGGTCGCACAGGTGGCTTGCTCGGGGGTAGAGCGAGCGGCTCGCAATCAAAAGGTTGAGATTTCATATCCTGGTTGGAGGGTTGACTCAGCCCATCATTCTTCCGAGGGGGGGTCGATAAAATCACGAAATAGGTACCACTTTCTGGGGAAGTCAACAGTGGTTGGTTGACATACTGGTTCCCGTCATAGGAATATGAAATCGGCACTAGTTCAGGGCTATAAACATGAGATGAGCACCACATCGACGCTCATGTGAGCAGGAAATCACATGTGGATATGAACACTGGACGGCTCTCCCGCTCATGGGTGCGATGTCTCGGCTCGTAGTGGCCTACGGGCGACTTTTTGATTCGTAGGTAATCAGTCATTATGGTCATTATCATCACCACGATCATCATCATCACAACAATCATCAGGGCAGTGACGCGACCTAATGGTAGCGCGCTCGCCGCTTGTTCACAGTTCAATGCCATCGGCCGCCCTGATCAAATCGGAGCAATACTACACGCCGTCTGCTTCACATTGGACGTTAAAGATCTCTTGACGTCATTCGTAAAAGTAGGCCATTTGTGTGCCGGCGTCAGGGTCCAAATTTGCCAAATTCGAAAATGACACCGCAAATTACTCCATTGGGTATTCTACACAAAGACAAAGATCCCCCGTGTAGCCTTAACAGACTGTTGTGGCAAGTGCTGTTAGCGAGCACCTATGAAGGCCGGCACGGCACACGAGGGGGTTGGTGGCCAACACCACGCCCGGCCGAGTAGTGATGTTTTATACACCGCACCAGGTCGAAGACCTGTTCGTCACTGTTGTTGGCCGTGAGCGGGAATCGAACTCGGGTCGCCGGGTTCGTAGCGCAGTGAGCTGACCGCTATACCACCGCTCCCCATGCACACACACATACACACAGCAGCAAACATCGCCCCCTACTGGCAGATTAATGCCCCATGTCACTCTTGCAAATTGGACTCACCCTGGTTTCTTGAGTTCTCGCCACCTGGTTAAAAAACAATAAACTTGGGCTTGATAATTTTTAACCACTGTCACCTTTTCACCATCGTCACCACCACCACCACCAGCCTGAACAGTCATCACGGTCGTCTTTACCACCACCACGACAATTATCATGTTAAGCACCATCGTGTATTCATCATCATCATCATCATCGTGAATTCCGAATCGAGGGTCAACAAGTGGTGAAGTCACTGAAAATCAACATTGCTGCGTTTAATTATATACGGGCGAACTGGGCCTCGTCATAGGAACGTGGCGTTTCCACGAGCTGACTCGAGACCGAGCGTTAACACCAGAACCTCGTGGCTCGTGCAAGGGCGCAACTCATCTTGTACACGTGACACGCACTAAAATAACCTAAATCACACACATAAGCAATTCTGCAAAGATCAAGTTACAAAGACATTCATAACAAGGACACATTCCAGTGCGTATAACCTTTATATCGGGACAAGTGCTCTTCGTTAGCGAGCACCTATTAAGGCTATAATACTACGCCTGGCCGCCTTTGTATATAGAGTGCTGATGTTTATATACACAACAGCAAATCGTTTAAGGCTCAATCGACCTAAGTCCGATGCGATGAAGCTTGTGGTATGCCCAGGACCCGTGCTGATATCACCCGCCACTAATTGTTGGCCGTGGCCGGGAATTTAATTCGTAGCGCAGTGCGCTAACCACTGCGTCTCCGCTCCAACCCGCACGCAAAGACAAAGATCCCCCGTGTAGCCTTAACAGACTGTTGGGGCAAGTGCTGTTAGCGAGCACCCATGAGAGCCGGCACGGCACACGAGGGGGTGGGTGGCCAGCACCACGCCCGGCCGCCTTTGTCTCCCTAGTGGCGATGTTTACACACCACGTACTCATTTGAGGTTGAGTCGACCTAGGGGAGGCCCATGACCTGTTCAGATTATCGTCACTGGTGTTGGCCGTGAGCGAGAATCGAACTCGGGTCACCGGATTTGTAGCGCAGTGCACTAATCGCTGCACTACCGCTCCCCACTCACGCATACTCTCACACACGTACACACACACGCATACTCACACACACGTACACACACACGCATACTCTCACACACACGCACACACTCACACACACACACGTACACACTCACGCATACTCTCACACACGTACACACACACTCACACACGTACACACTCACGCACACACTCACACGTACACACACACACGTACACACACTCACGCTTACACACACAGGTACACACTCACACACACACGTACACACACACGCACACACACACGTACACACTCACACACACTCACACACACTCACACGTACACACTCACACGTACACACTCACACACACGTACACACTCACACCCGCATACAGCAGCAGCAGCAGTGCGCGTGTGGGGGGTGGCTCCGCTCGGTGCTGCATGCGGCAGCAGCGCGACGCGTCACTGCACCAACCTCGACCGCCTCTCTCGCCTCCTCCTCCTCTGCTGCTGCTGGGGGTGAATGCGGTCAGCGGTGGAGGAGGAGGGGGGTGCGTGGACCGTGGAGGAGGGGAGGGGGGGGGCTGGTGGTGAGTTTGCAAGGAAAGTGCAGGGAGAGTGAAAAAGAGCGAGGGTGGGGAGTGATGGAGATGTGGTGGGGAGAGAGAAACACGCAGCAGAGATGCAGAACATTTCTGGGGAGGGGAGGGGGGATGCAGGGATGGGAGATGCAGGGCGGCAAGGGGAGATTGAGCAGGGAGGCCTGGGAGCCAGGCAGAAAGAGAATGAACTATGGAATGGGCAGGGGTGAGATGCAGGGAGGCCTGGGAGCCAGGCAGAAAGAGAATGAACTATGGAATGGGCAGGGCTGAGATGCAGGGAGGCCTGGGAGCCAGGCAGAAAGAGAATGAACTATGGAATGAGCAGGGCTGAGATGCAGGGAGGCCTGGGAGCCAGGCAGAAAGAGAATGAACTATGGAATGGGCAGGGCTGAGATGCAGGGAGGCCTGGGAGCCAGGCAGAAAGAGAATGAACTATGGAATGGGCAGGGCTGAGATGCAGGGAGGCTGCGGGGTGATGCCAATGGGGGTAGTTGCACGACGTCTCGCAGGAGGCAAAGATTGAGCAGGGAGGCCTGGGAGCCTGGCAGAAAGACACTGAACTATGGAATGGGCAGGGGTGAGATGCAGGGAGGCTGCGGGGTGATACCAATGGGGGTAGTTGCACGACGTCTCGCAGGAGGCAAAGATTGAGCAGGGAGGCGTGCAGGGAAGTTGGGAATTGGAGATGGGAAAATTAAGCGGGGGCAGGGAGTGCGAGCGATGGGAAAAGAGACGCGTTGAATAGCTGGCAAGGCGACATGCGGGGAGGCAGAAAGACGCATGAGTGTATTGGTCAGGGAGAGCCCTGCTGAGGCTGATCTGGTGAGATAGGAAGAGATTTTGACAAATATTAAAGAGGGTGAGATGTAGGGATGTAGCGATTTATGGAGATGTGTTACGTGGAAAGCGAGATCTCAACGTTGCCAGATATACAAGTACGGAGGATGGGCAGGGAGGCAGGGGATCACGTGGAAAGATCAGGCAGGGTGAGACGCAGGGGGATGGAGAGATCCAGAGCCAGGCCAAGCAGGGTGGGGCGATGGGAGGGAGGAGGGGGGAGATAGTGGGAGACTTGGCACAGGGAAGGATGGAGAGATGTAGGGAGAGATGGAGGGAGGAGGAGGAGAGGGGGGGGGAGGAGAGGGGGAGGAGGAGGTTCGAGCCCAGGATATAGACGCTCAACTCGAGGCCGCTGCAGCAGAAGGAGGAACCTCGCCTTGGCACCATGGAGACCTGCACAGTCATGGAGAACCCGGTGAGACTCCGAACCTGGGCGCACGCATTCATCCCGCCAGACAAACTCCACTCTTCATCACCAGCTACCACCACGCATCGCCATAGCACGGCGCAAAGAGACAAGCGCTTTCGCCACCGATATTGTTCATAATTCCGGCAAATGGCCTGATGAAGCTGGTTGTAATCACCAGCGAAACGTCGTAGTCGAATGGTAAATGTAGTGGGTTTACTCTGCAACACACGGCCGTGCTGATTGGTTTTTTACCCTTCTATCTGGCAACAAAAAAAAAACAATTATCATATTTTTACTGGCAAATGAGGTTCCCATGGTAGTCACTATTCCTCACGTTTTGTTTTCGTGACGGACCTTGCTAATTGGCTGTGTCGGGTGGTGGTGGGGTTAACGACACATTTATATTTACGCAATCTCACCCCTTATTACGAGGCAAGCGCTGTTCGCGATCAGCTACTGAGGGCCGCACGACAACGCAACTGCAGGGGTAGTGTGACTAGGCATGACGACCGACCGCCTTTGTATCCCCCAGTGCTGATGTTGAGACACTGCCGCCAGGCAAAGCGCTCACTTGCAATGCTGGGTGGACTTAAGGGAGATAGAGGCCGAGGACTGGGTCGGGAAATCGAACCCAGACACCCGCATAGAGCCCCTCCGATTAGCACGGTGGGCTACGTACGGTGCGAAAGAAGTTCAACGGTCATACACAGACGCTTGCTGGTACAAGACTTGCCGGCTTTAATAGGTGCTCGCAAACAGCGCTTTCCTCTGCGGTCTATGAAGTGCAACACACACACAAAGATAAATGCATACTCACATTTCTATTCTATACAGTATTCAATTGCTGTTGCAATATTGATTGTACATTTTCATGCATATACAGAACGTATTTTAAACACGAAATTTAATGGAAGATGTTTATTATTTTGTAAGTTAGACCTCTTGGGTCAATGATACAATTCATACAGAGCATCTGCGTATTAGCTATTAGTAATACGTGTACGTGTGTATGATAATATTGACATTAAACAAATATAACGTATTATCTGGATTGCGTGACGCTCTAATTCCCCTTTTATTTTAAAGCAAAAGTCGTGCGGCGTCTTACAATCCGGCAGCTTTGTGTGAGAGCGATGTCATTTGTGTAACTTTATTGATACCTGGCACAGGTGATTACGAACGACATCGTGTTTCAGCACAAATATGAAATAAGATTTCCACAAATTTTTGTTAACGTATAAATCAAGTTTCACTTGATAATGGCTCTCATCTGGCTAACATACATCAGTGACAGTAGTGATTATGGGGGGGTGGGGGGCTTAATGGTAGCTGGAGCTATCCGGGGCCGAGTTCCAGAAAATATTTCCCCTCTCCCCTCCCGCCAACGCTGTCGGAGAGGGGAGGTGGCGGCATTCCGGATCGAGCCCAGATCGTGATGATTGCAAAACTTCAGACGTTGCTGAAGTCAATTCTAGCCACTTTCGGTACTTGCGCTGTGATCGGTGATGGAAATTCCATGTTTCTATGGCGGGATCAAGTATGTCCTTTACCTTATTCTCCGCCACCCCCTGTATTTTAAAGATAAAAGTTGAATGTGCGTTGTATAATCAAACTGCTTGTGTAATATCACATTCGTATAACTTTCTTGACAGCGCGCACACGTTTGGGTTAAAGGGGTTGTTTTCCGGTGCATCCGATAAATCCCGTGGATACGGCCGTCGTGAAACACGGCGAGACGCGCCGATGCTGTTGTGTGAACGAGCCTAGGATCCGTCGCTCACCCCCACACTCCTCACCCATCATCTCGGCTCACCTACCCCACGCCGCCCCACCTGTAAACCCCCTTCTTCCACCTCCCCCCCCTCTGGCCGCCAGATCCTGCCCGTGTCGCTCCCGATTCGTCTGTACCCGGGCTACGTGATCAGCGTGGAGGGCCGCGTGCCGGAGGACTCGGAACGGTTCGTATCGTTCGTGACTAATTCATCGATTGATCGGATATCGTTTTTGTATTGTTTGATCGCGATTGTCTTCGATAACGTCAACCGTCAGCTGTCGGTGGCGACCTTTCAGCGGAACCGTTCATTTTGCCGCAACGGATCGATGAGTGGCCGTGCAATCCACGATGTCATCCTCCCCTGCTCGCCTTGTCCAAAGCGGTGACGCCACGCGTCACGATCTCACACCCACGCCCTCGTCGGGAATGCGCACAGGGCATGATGCGGTGCAACATCCCATCCGATATATGCTCTGGAATCTCAGACTCGTGCACGATCCGATCTTGGACCGATCGCGTCTAATGCATCCTGTCCTGATTCTCAGAAGCGCACGCCAATCCCATTCACTCTGGTGCGACGGGATCCGATTCCGATTCGATATGATCCCATCTGGTTCTCAGACTCGTAAATACATGTATTCAATTTCATCTGATACAAATCCAATCACAGGTAATTGGATCTCATCGGATTATTAGATATGTACACGCTCTGATTAACTCTAAATTTATTTAATCTCTTCTAATTGTCAGAAATGTACGCCATCCAATTAAATCAGATCATTAAGCTCCTGCAACGATTTTATCCATCCATTGTGATTTGATCTCATAAAAATTGTATCCCATTCCGATCCCCAGGCTCGTGCACGATCCGATACAAATCGTATCCGATCAAGCAACAGATCTGCGAAACCTGTTACAAATTCCATGAGACCGGGCCGGGTCCCATCTCAAACTCGCGATCATCTTTTTTTCTTTCGATGCGAGTCCAGACCCGATGCCACTCCTCGTGTTCCACACAAACCGCGCAGGTGCGAATTAATTCACCCGCGCGTGACTTCTCGCAGGGACCCATTAGCTTCAACTTGTTAATTAAAGACGCCGGGAGACAACTGGGCCAGGGTCAACGACGCGGTCCTGGGTCGCATGGCACCCCCTCGTGATACGCGGGGCGCGGCGCGAGGCCCGTTACGGCGAACCCGAAACCACCCGCGCCGATCCAGCGCTTCATTAGATGCCAGGGTTGGTGGGTCACGGAAAGAGTTGCCAAACTCCTCCCTTTGACCGGGCCTGGCTGGGCTGCGTGCGAAGCGGCCACGGGGGGTGAACGAGGCGACACGGCAAGTAGTGGGATCGTGAGCCCGTTGTGTGTAGGCGACCTCTTTGTGAGTGCCCTCTCCTCGTATGTATAGCAATGCGTGGTGGGGTTTTCTCCGGGTACTTCGACTTAACTCCTACACTGAAAAAAATAATCGTAATAATAATGATAGATTGTTGTTATTATTTCAAACAATCGGCCAACATACCCAGGGTAACAAGACCCTCCTTAAAACGAGTCTTGAAACTCAAGCGATGCTTTCCTGGATAAATGCCATTCTTAGGACTGCATTACTAATTATAATAATCATGTTACATGCGTGAGGCCTTCATCCAGCAGTGGATTGACCGTGGCTAACAATGGCGATGATGACATGCGCGTGCACTGTAACATCTTCTGGTGTCCGTCAATTTCAATGCTGCCCGAGGACTTGCGCACGCCTTGCGAATCGTGGTGGTTATTTCGAACATACTTCACAATGCGGTTCAGTGCGGGGTTGGTGAAGGGTGGTGGTGGTGGGGGGGTTACATTTTGGCATGTGAAGGAACACAGGAGTAGAGTACAATTATTCGTTTTGCCACACTATCCACTGTTGCCAATAACGTACTGTAACAATACACAGTACACGTGAGTAATTATTGATTAGCGTAGCGTTCTTGACGCAAGCATGGCGGTTTTACTCTGACCACAGGATGAAGGATTCACGTTTATTGAGCATCTCACGTTCAGGCCACGTTCAGAACGTTTGACAGCTTGCCATTCATCTGCAATAATACACGACGGGTATGTGGAGCGGTGGCGCAATGGTTAGCGCGCTGCGCTATGAACCCGGCGACATTTGAGTTCGATTCCCAGCCGTGGCGAGTGATCTCTGTGAACCGGTCCTGTTCTGGGGTTCCCCATCCTACTTTTTCACCAACGCACTCTGCCCAGCGTGGTGAAGTATGGTCAATCAAACCCCTCTTCCCCCGTGACCGACACGGGCGGAGGCCTTCATCCAGCAGTGGATTGGCACGCGACTAGACGCAGTTCGCTCCCCGCCTTGGCAGCGCTGCTCAAAGCGCAATTAACAACGCACTGCACACACCCGTCAACGAGCCTGTGGTCTTAAAAGGCTAAATATATGCGGCATATAACAGGCGACGCTTCAAGCAAACGGCGCTTTTTAAACCGTGCCACATTAGATCGTTCCACGTCGTTTGGTTCGAGTCGAGTGCTTATTCTGTACCCACTCCGCCCTAGACCAAGGGGAGTGGGCAACCGAAATAGCGAGAAGAGACAATTTTTTGTTTGTTTCGAATATGGTAATAGAAGAAGAAGAAGAAAAAAAATCCAAACTCGATATTTCAAGATCCGTGCTGCGTGTGAATACGAGACGGTGGGTCCCTTGGTAAAGTAACGTCACGGAGCGGTCCTTGGAGAGAGCTCGCACGCGGCGCCCGAGTCGCAGGTTGACCGAGACGTGCCCTGGACGAAATCTTGGTGAAGTATAATAAGTTCAAGTTCATTGATTAGGTATAGCCCTGTGAGCCATTCGGCTCTTGAATCGGGTGCAACCGCAACAAACAAAAAATAAAAACATGAACAAGAAAACATCTTAACGTGAATATCTGACTAAGTGCAAACAGAAAATCCAAGAAAAGACAGCTAAATATTGCAGAAAAAACACCGTACACCAACGCTGTGTGCAAAAATCCCAGTGGGATGCAAGTCAAACAACAACAACAACAACCACAAGACAACTGAGATTAAGGCCATCACTCTAACTCTGTACTACAACAAACAAATATGGCTAAACCAATACACTTTTCGAAATCACCAAAATAAAGCTATGAAAGCAATGAAAAAGCAATCATAGGAACTGTGACGGAATTTTCACAATAAATGGCATAAACAACATGTACTACCAAAACCCTGCAGCCATAGCTGGCTGCATGAGTCACTCCACAACAGCAGGAGCATCAATCGGAGTATTATAAGTACAGTCAAATAACCCCCACGACGCGCGTGGCGTAGAGCAAAACTGCCACGATTTACGACGATGGACGGGCCATCGCTCACCGCCACAAATGGCAAAGAGATCATCAACTCTGAGCACTGGTGACTAACAAGGGGCGAAATCGCTCTGACTGACGCCTCTCTGTCTCGCTGCTTGCATCGGTCACAGCAATTGCTCACGGCGTATCTAAAGGGCGATCTCGGGACGAGAGATAGTACCGCGATGCAGTTCCTCGGGAACTCTTGATGGCCTGTTGCGCTATGCGCAAAAGGGCTGTTATTGTGTTTTATTTTGTATTTGCTGGGTGGGGGGCAGAACCGGCCCTAGACCTTGGGGGGCCCTAAGCAAAATTTGGTTGGAGGCCCCTTTGATGTATGATTTTTTTCACCCACTAGCTAGCAGTGACTCTAGGGAGCCCTCTGCTGGCCACGGGGCCCTTTGCAATTGCAAGGGTCGCTTAGTGGCTGGGCCGGCTCTGGTGGGGGCAGGACGAGTGGTGATGGTTCGATCCCGTGTGTCCCCCCGTGTGCCCCCCCCCCGCACCCCGTGCCGGATTATCCTCGTAGCAAAAGAAGCTACTACACATGTCGTAGCTACGGGCCCCACACTTTCAAGGGCCCCGCGCTAAATGTTTTCAAGCTATCAATTCCGGTTCAGTGACTCTGTACTTGCTCTATTACTATAGTCCTATACCGCCTTCAACTTTTACGAACGACTGGGTGTTTAAGGTCAGCGATTTGTCGTATTATCTGACTGTATAGCAAACGAAAACATCCAATTACTTTACTATGCAAGTAAAAAAATGTGTGTTTTAATATTTACGTGTTTTTTATTTATGTAGAGCCCCGCAGCAGCTTAATCCGGCACTGCCCCCCCCACCCCCACGCGCCTGCCCCAGGTTCGCTGTGAACCTGTGCGCCGCTGAGGACGTGGCTCTGCACGTGAACCCCCGGTGGGGTGCCGACTCGGGCTCCCAGTGCCTCCTGGTGCTCAATTCGCGCGCGGGCGGCGCGTGGGGACGCGAAGAGCGACTCGCGGCCGCCCCGTGGTGCCGCGAGACCGACTTCAAGTTGTCCATCGCCGTGGACGACGAGGGCTACAAGGTGAGCGGTGGAGCCGTGGGGGGTAATGGAGCGCTCTGAACGCAAGGCTGCGGGCATGGATACCGTGCAGGAGGAACAACAATCAATGTGTCCATCGATGTTGCATGGTTACGCTGTGAGGGGATGTATATAGTGGTGATTGTAGCCTAGCGCAGTGTTCCTCAATAATTTTCAGAGGGGGGTGGGGGGTCGGGCACTTTCGCCGATAAGACATCATCAGTGTGAGGACCGCCACACATTGGACATCATTTCTGGGTTTGACATCAGCACGATGATGATGATGGGGTGATGTTCTCACGTGTTGTGTACTGTCGGGGGCTGCACGTCAGGGGCCGCACTAAAGGTCACCAGGGGCTGCCAGTGCCCCGCGGGCCTTGCAATGAAGACCACGGGCCTAGCGGGTTTCAAGCCATTCAGGGGGGAGGGGGTGGGGGGTTGGGTGGACGCAGGCTGCGGCATGTATACCGTGCAGGTGAAGTTTCTCGAGCTGATGTTGGGCACTGGGGCCAGTGGTCTTGATTGGGTTGGGGTAGGAGGGGGGGCACCCTAACACACTCTTACACTCTCTCAAACAAATATAAAGAATCCCCGTATAGCCTTAACATACTTTGGGCCAAGTGCAGTTAGCTCGCAGCTATGAAGGCCGGCACTGCACACGAGGGGGTGGGTGGCCAGCATCCACGCCCAAGTGGCGATCTTTACACACCGCACCAGGTACTCATTTGAGGCTGAGTCGACCTAGGACCGATTCAGATAATCGATGGGTGCAGCGCGCGAACCCGCTACACTACTACTCCCCCCTCTCATACCCCCTCTCACATTCCCTCTCACACACCACACGTTCTCCCACTCGACACGCACACACGCACACTGCCTGTCACCCTCCCGACCTCTCCCACACGCAGGTCCTGCTGTGCGACTCGTCTCCCGTGCTGGAGTTCGCTCACCGCTGCGCCCTCCAGACCGTCGACCGCCTCGAGTTGAAACCCACGGCCCACGTGTCGCTCCTGCGAGTGCTCGCCCCCGCCTGTACGGACGTGAGTATAATATGGACACATTTTTATTTTTTTTAACCAACTAAGGTCCACTTGAGCTACCTATAGAGCTCTTTTTTCAGGAGCGACCTGGGCCACAAATGATAGCTCGACGAAGTGGCGGAATGGACAGTAGCCCAAATGCTCGAAATGCATGTTGATTGTAAATGTGGAGGGGGAAAAAAATTGGAGGACCCGGAGGAAAAATCTACGCAGCCAAGGGGAGAACATGCAAACTCCAAATATACAAGCGTCAGCTTCGGGATTGAACCTACGACCTCCTGTATACTTGGCGAGGTAGTTAACGTCTCGCCACCGTGGCACCCACCCACCGCCACTACTCACTCATCCCGGCCTCTCTGTTTCTCGTTTAGTGGGGGTGCCGGTGTATTTGAAATCACGGCGAATATCGGAATTCCACGGGACAGCCACTTGACAGTTTCGAAACGCGGCAACTTTTTTCGCTTTCCTCTCGGAGAGAGAGAGAAATTGCTCAAGAGGTGCGAGGAGGTGAGCTGGAAGGCAACAGCCACGCCGGTGAAGCCGGTGAAGCCGGTGTCCACAATTGGCCAAGCTCTGCGGTCCTGTGTATATGAAGGTGTTTTCGGCCAATTAGTGAGTATTTATACGTGGGCAAAAACCGGAAAACCCGGAAAGAACCCGCGCGCGATGGGGCAAGACTCAAACCAATAAAGTGTACTCACGAAACTGGCGAGGTCCTCATTTGCCGTACTGCCCTCCGTTGGCGAGCCAGGGTCTGGAACCTCGACGCCCTTGGGAAGGGAAATTCGCAGCATCTGTGCGATGATCCAGCAACACTCGCTGCCTTTACAGTGCTGGGTGACAGGCCGCACGGTGTATATAGTCACCACCGCCCGGACTTTTATAACTTTGTCTCTTTTAGAGATAAACGTGTTTGCACGCGAGAATGCTTGGGGTTAACACGCGTCATCTCTGCTTGTCTCCCTGTGTCCCCCGGTGTCTCTCCCTGTCTCCGTGTGTCTCTCTCCTCATCTCCCTGTGTGTCTCTGTGTCTCTCTGTATCTTGCTCTATTTGTGTGTCTCTCTGTGTGTCTCTCCTCATCTCCCTGTGTCTCGCTCTATTTTTCTGTCTCTTTCCCCGTCTCCGTGTGTCTCCCCGTGTGTCTCACGATGCCAGGAGGAACTCCCTCCGCCAGTGACTCCGGACAGCGGCGATTTATCGGTAACGGGATTGAACCGGGACTCTAAACATTTCATTACATTTTTCTTGGGTCTTTTGGTAAAGTCACGTAGATAGGTTCAAAGAAAATAATCAAATATAACACAAAACTACGACATTTCGATCGCAAGGCAAGCGGTCGTCTCCCTTTTCTTGAAGTCGACCGCTCGTGTTGCAATCGAAACGTCGTAGTTTTCTGTTATTTTTTATTATTTTCTTTGAACCTATCTACGTGACTTTACCGAAAGACCCAAGAATATGAATTCTTGCAGTCACGAAAGCTTTAAGTCAAGATTGTATTACATTGACACAGTTTATCTTGCATTGAACTGCATTGCTCTTCATAAACACACACAAATACAAAGACCCCCGTATAGCCTTTAACAGACTATTGGGGCAAGGGCGCAAGTGATCTTAAGTGAGCACCTATGAAGGTCGGCACGACGCACCCTGGGACGATGTGGCTAGCACCACGCCCGGCCGCCTTTGTCTCGCCAGTGGCGATGTTTTACACATCGCACCAGGTACTCATTTGAGGCTGAGTCGACCTAGAGGAGGCCCAGGATCGGTACAGATAATCGTCACTGGTGTTGGCCGTGAGCGAGAATTGAACTTTGGTCGCCGGGTTCGTAGCACAGCGCGATAACCGCTGCACTACCGCTCCTTCACCCACCTACTCACTCACCCACCCACCCACCCGCCCATTCACCACATTGCAGGTCACTTACACTGCTCTTCAGTGTCCCTGCACTTGCACTGCTCCACTGTAAAATTCCATCCCAACATCATGAGCATCATCGTCTCTTTTGCAATAAATAATAACAATAATAACCGTGCTTAATTCAAGAAACGTGCTCATCCGTATCCGTCACGACTTTGAACGGTGCCGTTTATCTGCCGGCCCGCTTTTGGGCCCCGTGCTCGACAAACTGTTGCATCTCTCCGTTTCGCCCGCAGCTGCAGGATGCCGTGTCGAACCTGACTGTGGCTGACACGCCCGAGGAAGGAGGACCCGAAGCCAAGGAGGAGGAAGCCGGCGTCAAGCAGGAGGAGGAACCTGCGAAGGAGGAAGAGGCACCCGCGGTGGAGGAGAAGGGATCCGCGCCAGAGGAAGGTGGAGCTGGGCAGGAGGCAGAACAGGAGCCGGTGCCCGAGGAGGAGAAACCCGGACCGGAGGCAGCGCCAGAGGAACAGGGACCTGGCGAGCAGGGGGGCGAGGGAAGTGGAGCCGCAGAGGGAGACCTGGGCGAGGAGGCTGGAGGGGAGGTCGCTGCGGATGCGGAGGGAGAGAAGAGCGCGGATGCTGCTGCTGCTGTAGAGTTGGTGGGTCACGTGGAGAGCTGTGAGCACCTACTCGTTGCAGCTCCGTGTGTCGACGCAACTCTCTCGGCCTCGTGCCTTAAATCAAACTGTGAACTATTTTTTTTATTTTACCGTATTGGGTTAGGCCCACTGAGCTGTATAGAGTTTTTTTTTTTACAGAAGCGATCTTTATAGATGTCTTGCTTAGCGCGTCACGTGGAACTCAACGCGAGCCCGGTACACAGCACCGATCACAAAACAAGAAGAGGGTTGGGGGGGGGGGGCGGATTAAGATGTTGTAGTTCCCTGGGCTACAGGCACTGTGAGGCCCCCAGTAATATTTTTCAAAGGAAAACAAAGTTCAAGAAAAATGAAAATTTATTTTCACAAGACTAACAACAAATAAAATTCAGCATTCACAAATGAAATAACTTTTCACTCTAATCTCCGGAGGCCTCTCCAGCCGGCGCAGGCCCCTGGGCTGAAGCCCCCGCGACTCGATCCGGCCCTGGGAGGAGGGCAAACATTCCGCGAGCAAAATCGCGAGATCGGCGCGGCTGTGCTTGGTGCAGAGGGCTGCCGCATTGGGCTTTCTGCAGCACGCAGGCGGGGAGAGCCTCTAGCAGAGAAGTGAAAGTTCACAATGGGGGAGGGAACGCTAAGGTGGGGGGGGGATATAGCTGACGTCAAAGGGAGACGGGAAAAAGGAGCGGAGGGGGAGGGAACGAGGTGGATGGGTGGGTGGGGGTTGGAGGGGAAAAAAAAACCACGTGGGACGGGTTTAACAATCATCGGGTGCGCGCAGCGTGGAACGAGTTATTTTTTTAGTATTTGTCGGGGGGGGGGGTCTGGTCACTCGTTCCGTGTCGGGGGGGGGCGGTCTGGTCACTCGTTTTCTTCCTCTCCCCCGCAGAGCGTCCCGCACGACGGCGTCATCGACGGAGGCCTCCACCCGGGATGGAGCCTCACCCTGGAAGGCTCCGTGCCGGCTGAAGCCAACAGGTGCACCGACGGAGCCCCCGGCGTTCCCACGCATGACCCTCCCCACCCCCCAATTCCCCGCTCGTCTGTAGTGGCCTTTGACTTTTACCGGGGCTTGCAGGGCGACGCACAGCTTGTGCCTTGCAGCAGGAATCCCCTGGGTTCGATTCTTGACTCGGGCGCGCCTCTGCGTGGACTTAGGACGTTCTCCCCTTTTCTGCAGATTGTGTGAGTGAGTGTGTGTATACTCTTTGGTTCTTTCGGTAAAGTCGCGTAGGTATAAAATAAAATAAATCACGACGTTTCGGGCACAATACAAGCGTCCATCATCATGCTTTCCCATCTGATGACGGACGTCGTGATTTATTTTATTTTCTACCTACGTGACTTTAGCGAAAGAACCAAAGAGTATGGATTCCTGCAGCCACGGAAGCTTCAAATCAAGAGTATATGTATGTAAATATGTTGAACTTCTTTCGCACCGTATGTGGCCAACCGTGCTAATCGGAGGTACGGGAGAAGAACAACAAACTAAACACAAAAAGTAGTTCTCAAGAAATACGTTTTGAAACTAGATTTAAAAGTTGCACAGCTCCAAGGGCTTCCAAATATCGCAAGCAAGAGAATTGCAGACGGCTGCAGACGGCTGCAGCAAGCGCATCTGAAAGTGCGCGATGCAGTGACCGTCATTGTTCTGTGGTGTGTGAATGAGGGCTGTTGTGTGAGTGTGCTTGAGTTTGTATCTTCTCCCCCCTCATCTGCGTGGATTTCCTCCGTGTTCTCCGGTTTCTTCCCATAGCTGCAAGATTCACAGTTTAAATGATATTGGCCAGAGCATCCATCCCATTGCTGAAAATGTAACCTGCGTAGAACTCGACACAGCGACATCGCCCCCTACTGCGAAAACCTGGCAGGACCCTCCGGAAAAAAGAGTTGAGACTCAGTGAAGCTTCCCGTGTATCCGTATCCCCATGTTGCCATGTCCCTGTGTCCCCATGTCTCTGTGTCCCCATATCTTTGCATCTCCATGTCCCCGTGTCTGCGTGTCTCCGTGACTCTGTATCCCCATGTCTCTGTCTGTGTCCCCATGTCTCTGTGTCCCCATGTCTCTGTGTCCCCATGTCCCTGTGTCTCCGCATCTCCGTGTCCCCGTGTCTGCGTGTCTGCGTGACTCCGTGTCCCGGTGTCTCTCCCCCAGGTTTGCCGTGAACCTCATTGGGGAAGGCGGACAGGACATCGCTCTGCACGTGAACCCGCGGTTCAGCGCCGACGGAGGAGGAGCCCTTGTGCGGAATGCCAAGATTGGGGGTGCGTGGGGGGCCGAGGAGCGAGAGGGGGTCAACCCCTTCACTCGTGGGGAGACATTCACGGTGAGCACGATGCCACTGTCCTATATCACTGCCTCTCTCAGGTCTCTCTTGCTCTGTCTGGGGCGCCGCGGTGGCGAGGTGTTGTCTCCCTCGCCTGGTATGCAGGAGGTCGTGGGTTCGGTCCCGACCCTCTGACGCCAGCTGCTGTATATTTGGAGTTTGCATGTCTCTCTCCTCGTGATCGCGTGGATTTTTCTCTGGGTCCTCCAGTTTTTCCCTCCACATTTAGAATCAACAAACGTGCATTTAGAGTATTTGGCTGCTCTACATTTTCACGTGATGATAAGCCACTTCGTTGAGCTGTCATTTGTGGCCAGGTCGCTTCTGAAAAAGAGCTGTATAGCTCAGCGGGCTTTATCTGGTGAATAAAAAATAATTTATAAATTTTGAATAGTTTTGGTTTAGTCGGAATCTCTGTTTGTCTGTGTGTCTGCCTCTCCGTCTTCCCATTCTCTCTATCTATCCTGAATCTATGCCTGTCTGACCACCTGCCTGTCTATCTGCCGCTCTGTCTGTCTGTCTACAGCTGGAGTTGAGCTGCGGGGAGTCGAACCTTGCCTTGAAGGTTGGGGGCGAGCCCGTGTGCGAATTCGCGCACCGCGTGGGCGAGCTCGCCAGCATCACGGCGTTCCACGTGGAGGGCGACGTGACGCTCACAGCCGCGCGGCAGGGCGACCTCTAGGGCTCCCATCCCGCCCTGCACCTACAATCCCAAAACCTGAATTTCGACCCAAACCCGAACCGCCAACTCCAACACAATCCAAATGCCTTTCAACTCGTATCCAGAGCCCCGCCACCACTAACCCCCACCCCCCACCCCGCTCTCTCTTTATTTGGACTTCCAACCAGGGCCTTAATTTCACGTGTCCCGGGTTGGCGACCGAGAAATAATTGATGCACCCAGCACACCACATCCAGTATACCTCTTGTTACACCCGTGGGCATTATCGCAAACGAGATGCTGCATATGAAGGGATTATCCGGGTAAAATGTTTTAAGTGACAAGCAACACGAGGCCTTCGCTCGTCCCCCAGCGACCCAGAAATTAAGCCCTGCCTCCAATCATAGCAAGGGCATTCTGATCATTTCTTGATAAACAGACCCAAAGAGCCTTTTCCCTAAAACCTTGGATCGTCAACCCTCACTAGACCCTTCCTATCCCTCCCTGGTTCTCTAACCCTGACCCACAAATCATCACCACGCAGCTTTTTGCCTCCGGCCCATAATTCCCGAATGCCCCCCCCCCCGTCCCCTCCATGAAAGTCCAATTTGAATGTCGGATCCTATCACTGTTCAAGAAGACGATGATCCCTTTAGCGAAGCATGAGTGCCCCCTGAACCTGCGGTCACTGCGAAACAACTGACTGGGTTACCACCACCGTGGAGATGGAGCGACGAATTAATTGGTGCAAAATGGATCGTTGCACCGTTAGCGTCGCAGGGGACGGTGACGGCTTGGGGGAGGCCTTCATCCAGCAGTAGAGTGAGCATGGCTGATGATGATGAGTTAATGTGGTTGAGGACCTCCCCAATTTTGTACTGCACATGTGGGGTTGTTGTGGTTGACCATACTTCACCATGCTGGTCATCGCGGGTTGGTAAAGGTGGGGCACATTGGCGTTGATGCATAGCTACGCGGGACAACAATTTAATTTGCCGAACTGCCCTCTGCCGCCAACCGCGTGGCCCCCGTGGCAGCCTATAGCACCTGTTATGCACGGTGGTGGTCGCCCATTCAAGCGCCGGCACTATCCAGGCTCAGCCATGCTTAGCTTCGGAGATCTGACGAGATCGGGCGCATTCCGGAGTGACCTGGTCATCAGCCGAGTGGGTGGATGTTGCTGCTGTGCTTGGCAACCACGGTGAGACAAATATGGAGACTCGATTTGTCGCAGCGTCTCGTTTTCACGCCAGTGTGGTTTGCGACGATACCCCGAATGACAACAACAGATGCTCTGTGTTCACCTGGGAATGCCTCGCCGAGTCTCGAGAGGCGTTGTCAGGAGGGTCCTGCCGCACTGGGATCTTTGGATAATTCCTTTAATGAGAGTTTGGCTTCGTGCGGGAGGAAACCAACCGGAGAAAACCCCATCACAAATACGAGGGCACAACACTCAAAAGCTCCACACAGAAACGGATTCTCGAATCCGTTTCTGTGCTACTATCTCTTGGCCGCCTCACAACCCAAGCTGACAACACCTGGTGTTCTCAGGCAGAGTCTCTCATCCCCGTACAAACCAGGCTGAGTCACAGCTTAGCTTCCAAACAAGTAACGAGTATCTGGCGCACGCGTGGTTTGTAAGACGCTCCGGCAAGTAAGACTCATCCTCGCCATCCTCGTGCCTGGTGTCAATAAACTCGCACAAATCTGGTCACACACATGAAGACAAAGATCACGGAGGGGTTAGTGCGTCTCATAACACTGGTCAACACACTTTTTCTGGCATAAGGTATTCCAACGGTTTCTAATGTAATTTTGGGGTGCCGATTCCAAATCTGGCATCAGTTTTTGTCTATCACATCAGGTTTTTGAGATATCAAATAGTGCATTTTCAATAAAAACTGCAGAAGAAAAATATTAAATAAATGTGGATATCTACATAAAATGATATTATAAACACACTATCCTAAAAATGCAGCACCATATTTTAACACTAAAGCAGTCACTGACTCGCAACAACTTGCAATCATAAGTGACAGAGTTAATTTCGGGTAAAATCAATGAAAATGGGGTATGCCGATAGCATAAAAATGAGATGCGATAGAGCAAATCTGAGATCAGATTTGGAATCAGCACCCTGCCATTAGTCTAAAACAGCTGCAAAAGTCCAGGCCAGAATTTTTTTTGTGTTGACCAGTGAATCGGGAGAATGCGGCACACGCGATGGGTTTTCTCCGGGCATTCGTGTTTTCTCCAAAGTTGAACAAAAAAATGATACCCCGGCAAGAAATTGCCCCAAAACTTCTCAAGTAGTTTATTCTCATAGAAACCCCCCCCCCACCCCCCCCCCGAGTCTCTTCAACGAGGTGGTTCCTGCGATTGTGCTACAAAGCAGTTGTTACACAGTGCCGGGACGAGCACGTGTTCTCGTGTAAAGGGATGACGTCTCGAACTGTCACATTGAATGGCAATGAGCTGTGATCGCCTTTGGTGATGAGAGAATGGCAGCTTGATTGCTTGAATAAACCCATTACAGTGATCCCGCTCCAAGTGTCCGTGAGAATGGATGCTGACACAGCAGCATTGATGAGCTCGTTAAACGTCACACACACCCACACTGATCACTTAGCACCCAGTGTCACGGGCAAGAGTGTCGAATGGATAAATATGCATCACAGATTAAGGTACGGATCGTGTGTGTGTGTGTACCTGGTGAGGTGGTCTAAACATCGCCACTAGGGAAACAAAGGCGGCCGGGCGTGGTGCTGGCCACCCACCCCCTCGTGTGCTGTCATAGGCGCTCGCTAACAGCACTTGCCCCAACAGTCTGTTAAGGCTACACGGGGGATCTGCGTCTTTGTATGTGTCACACGTGACGAACAGAGCGCCGAGTCAAACGCTAGGCAGAGATATTGTGCGCGTGAGTGTCTGTTGAGAGGAGCGGTGGCGCAGAGGTTAGCGCACTGCGTTCCGAAACCGGCGAGTCGAATTCGATTCCCATTGACGATTATCTGAATCGACGCTTTGCCTTCCCCTAGGTAGACTCAGCCTCAAGTGAGTACTTGATGCGTTGTGCAAACATCGCCACTGGGGAGACAAAGGCGGCTGGGCGTGGTTCCCGCCACCCACCCCCCTCGTGTTCTGTCCCGGCCTTTATAGATGCTACTCGCTAAGGGGCCGCCCATAAATGACGTCACGCACCTAGAGGGGGGGGTCAGACATTTGTAATGATGTGTGACGAGGGGGGGGGGGGCGTTGAGAAATGTGACGTCACATCAAAATGCGCAACTTTAAATAAATATAGAACTATGTTCTTGGTTCTTTCGGTAAAGTCACGTAGAAGGGAAAAAATAAAATAATAAAAATATAAAACAATAAAATTCTCACGATGTTTCGACTGCAACACAAGCAATCATCATCAGGTGAGCAATCATCATCAGGTGATGATTGCTTGTGTTGCAGTCGAAACGTCGTGAGAATTTGATTGTTTTATATTTGTATTATTTTATTGTTTCCATTCTACGTGACTTTACCGAAAGAACCATGACTATGAATCCCTGCAGTCACGAAAGCTTTAAATCAAAATATAGAATTGTTATAACACTCATACAACATCAGAGTGCAGCGCCACATTCAATACGCACTACAATGACAATAGTTTAAAGCGATTATTTGAAGCATGGTTTATTTTCAAAATGGAAATATGGTTTTGGGGGGGGGGGCAGAGCTTTGTGACGTCATATTTGAGGGGGGGTCTGACTTTTTGTGACGCCGTGTGACGAGGGGAGGGTGTCTAAAATCGTCCAAAATCGCGTGACGTCATTTATGGACGGCCCCTAAGAGCACTTTCCCCAACAGTCTGTTAAGGCTATACGAGGGAGAACTTTGTCCGTGCATAGTCGTGCATTTAGCGGACATTTGAACTGATGAGCTGAGTGAATAACGACGCGTTCCCGTGGCGGCTGCTTGTTGTTGGCCTGAGCAAAAGAAAAAAACTCCACGTGGCTTCTCTCACTGCCCCCACCTTAGCCCACCCAACACACGCCGTGAGCGAGTTCCGAGTCGGCTGGCATCGCCACCATCGGCACCTCGTGCCATCGTTACCGCGCGCCCACTCAGCCGCGCTCTAAACACGAAGCCAACACAGACACTGATTGAACTCGCGTCTCCAGGAGATGCCACACCGAGTCCCAAGACTCGTCGATATTATGCACTACAGGACTAGGGAAAGAATAAATGTCGGGCAGGTCACCGGCATTTGTTCAAGCAAGCGTGACTGCTGAAGAGCCACTGAATGTCGAAACAGGTCCCAAAGTTGGCTCGCATCGCTGCTGCTCAGATGCACTCCCAGAAGGCCGTGCAGTCGATGGGATGTGTTAATAATTTGTTTTCTTTTTCATGAATTATTTTTTTTTATGCGGAGAGACAGATACGGGGTAAAGGTTAAGATATTTGTTTTTATTAACATTCTCCAGAACGAATGTTGAGTTCGTGTTTATTATACGGTACTGTATTCAATTCACGTGTGGGGTTTCCACGCCAATTATTAATTACAACCACCACCTGAAGGAGTCGCATTACAACTGGAAATGGCGCGGACAGAAATGTCCCATGCAGACCTCGCTTTGCGCGGCCCCGTAGTACGCTGATTCGATGAGCGTTCACATATCCAGGGACGTATATTGGAGCGTTAAGCGAGGCCTGCCTGTAAGTGTATTCTGCCGCTTCCTCCAGCAGAGAGAGACATTTCCCAACACTCTCTCCGTGGGCCACGGGCTCAGAGGAAAACAAGAACATTATTTTACTAATAGGGGGTTTCCCCTTTTTTCTGGCAACAAAACTGACACCTTTTGCAAGGAATCATGCTTACATTAACCACAATACTTGCAGTCAAATGCAAACAAAAAACAATACTCTGATAATTTATGCATTGTCTTTGAAACTGATTGGTCCACACCAGAGACAGCTTTCTTTAGAGCCTAGTCTCATATGAGACAATGCATAAATTATCATAGTATTGTTTTTTGTTTGCATTTGACTGCAAGTATTGTGGTTAATGTAAGCATGATTCCTTGCAAAAGGTGTCAGTTTTGTTGCCAGAAAAAAGGGGAAAACCCCTATTAGTATATTTTGGTACTGGCAAAGGAGGCCCCATGATGAAACATGATTTTACTTGTGGGATGACAACACGTGGATTGTACCAACATCTGTAAATCGCCAACGATCGGTGAACGATGCCATAACGTTCACTTCACGTGATCCACCTTTAATGATATCCAGGTGCTACTAAACTGGCATCGCGAAAATATTCGCCACTTCTATTGGTAACTGAAGTGCTGAGCCTACGACCCGAGGCCTCTCCCGCCCACCGCAGGTCCAAGGAGGGCGATGGAGAGCTGTCCCACGCTCCTCTTGAGACCCTGAACACGAGGAGATGTCACTTGTTTACGCTTACCAGAGAAAATACGTTGAATGAATATTGTAACATTTTAAATGCACCCACCCCCCACACACTCTTGGGGAGTTTTTTGTTAGCTCTCCCTCTGTTGACACCCCGACTCTCGCATGCTTACGAAATCTACACACCGTCCAACGACTAATCAACCTCGTTACACGCTGCACGGGCCTGCTGATTGCTTAACAATAGGGTCCACGTGACCTTAGGAAGCGCTGATTTTAAGAGCGCGCACGCTTGCGGCATACACACGAACACAAAGACAAAGATCCCCCGTATAGCCTTAACACACTGTAGGGGCAAGTGCTGTTAACGAGCACCTGTGAAGGCCAGCATGGCACACGAGGGGGTGGGTGGCCAGCACCACGCCCGACCGCCTTTGTCTCCCCAGTAGCAATGTTTTACACATCGCACCAGGTACTAATTTGAGGCTGAGTCGACCTAGGGGATGCCCAGGATCGGTTCAGATAATCGTCACTTGGTGTTGGCCGTTTCGTAGAGCAGCGCGCTAACCGTTGCATCACCGCTCCTCGTGAACACGATATACGTACACACAAATATAGAGACAATATGAGAGGTGGTGGGAGTTGAGGGATGGGAGGGGGGAGGGCGCGGGGTATAAAAGCAGGGAATCTGGTTCAACAGGAGGAATAGTTGACCACCCCCCACCACCCACCAGCAACCAAGAGCAGCCAACCACGTGTTCAGGAGGAACATTGTTGGATCATGATGGAGGCACTCAGAAGCGTGGTGAACCCGGTGAGATCATCTTCCCCGGTGTCTATCTGTACACATGCACACATATAAACAAGACAAAGAGCCCCCGTATAGCCTCGACATAATTTTGGGGCAAGTGTTGTTTGCAAACACGAGACTACCATACACACATCTCGATACACATCACGTGGACTTGCACACCATGCGTGCATTTGTTCTAAGCAAGCACTTGTTAAAGCCGTGACGGCACACGATGGTGGTGAACGCCACGTCCAGCCGTCTTTGTCTCTCCAATAACGGATGTGTGTGTCCACCGCATATAATGCTCGCTTAAGGCTGAGCCGACCTTCAGGGAAGCCCAGGTATATTTCTAGATAACGTGCCACTAATGTTAGCCGTGCTCCGGAATCGAACTTGGATGACCGCAGTTTGTGTGTGAATATTTGCACAACTACAAAGATAAAGAATGTCCTTGTAGCCTGTTTTGAGACTTTTGGGGCAAGTGCTGTTTGTGAGTAGCACCTATCAAGGCCGGGACACGAGGGGGTGGGTGGCCAGCAACACGCCCGACCGCCTTTGTCTCCCCATTGGCCGTGTTTTATATACCGCACCAGGTACTCGTTTGAGGCTGAATCTACCAAGGGAGAGGCCCGGGGCCGGTTTAAATAAACATCATTGGTGTTGGTGGTCGTGAGCGGGAATTTAACTCGGATGGCCGAGTTCGCAGTGCTAACCACTACTCTACCACTCACCACGCACTACAACAACAACAATTCGTCATGAAGTGGCGGTGACTTTACTAAGGCGCTTGTGCCAGGCTAGGTGCACTTTAAGGCTACGTGGAGTGTCGAACGCCGGCTGGCAGGAGGTTACGGGACAGACCCAGGTGCCATGGGTTGACTGAAATGGCTGGCCGATGCACCACCTGTGCCTCCCCCTCCCCCCATTGTGCCAACGTGCTGTGTTGTTGTGAGCGTCGCTCCTCTGCCCTCTTGTTGCTGGAGGGCGACTGCCTCCAACTGCCGAGTATCAGCAGCAGCAGCAGCGTCCTTCACGAGCCTCCTTCATAGAGGGCGCACCGCTGGTAGCAGTCCTTGGCAAGTCCACTCGGCTCGGCATCCTCTCGTACCACATCCCTTCTCTCTAGCCCGTGCCGCGACCGTTCACGCGATACACTGCCCCACGACAGACACGCCGCACGACACGCGGACTTCGATTCTAGGAAGTGAATCTGTGCTTGAGTCGTCTTTAGAACCCGGGTTAAAGGTGCAGCCTCGTAATTGCCTTCTCACGCCACGGCTGTCGGAGAGGGGCGTTTGGCTAACTGGTCCATGCGGACCACACGTCCTCATAATGCAACTTTTAATAATATTTGCATTTACTTGGTCGTAATACTGTTTGATAATTTGAAGGGTTTGTTTAACACGTAAGCTGGCGCCACCAATATTATTCATAATAAAGGTTGTTGGGTTCGATCGCGTAAAGTATAAATGCGTCGTAACCCCTCCACCACCCGACACGGCCAGTAAGGTTTGTCACGTAAACAACGCGCCAATTAGTTTACTATTTCATCCCAGCGGTGTGTTGGGGAGTAAATCCACAACGATTATCATTTGAGTCGTACGACGTTTCGCTGGTGATTACATCCAGGTTGCCAGAATAGGATGTGTTGACCTGTAGTCAATAGCTACTAACCCGTATAACTAATCGGATAACAATAAAAAAAAACAACTGTACTTATTGGTTTATTTGGTAAAGTCACGCAGGTTTAAAATAAATCACGACGTTTCGGGCGCAACACAAGCGTCCATCATCAGGTGGCAAAGCATGGTCTGCTGCTGAGGCAGACTGTTTTGAAAGGTTTGAAAATGGGTGTAGCCCAAGGGTCATAAAGAAGTGAGCTACATCCATTTCAAACCTTTTTAAAACAGTCTGCCTCTGCAGCAAACCATGCTTTTCCACCTGATGACGGACGCTTGTGTTGCGCCCGAAACGTCGTGATTTATTTTATTTTTCTACCTACGCGACTTTACCGAAAGAACCAAAGAGTATGGATTCCTACAGTCACGAAAGCTTCAAATTACAAAGAAGCTGGTTGGGTATTCCCGCGAGAGCCTCGTGATACATTCTGTTTGCCAGCAAAGAGCTGTCGGGGTCAAGGGAGGGATGAGTTCTCGATTGCAAGGGCGACCTGGGTGACCAGCCTGCTGCCAGTAGGCGGCGATGGTTGCTGCTTAGGTCTCATCTCTATTGAGTACAGAAATCCCTCGATTTACGAACTTTCGTTTTACGAATTTCCGCCGTTAACAAAAACTACATTTCACCGCGGCACGAGATCGTCAAACAAGAAGGTACCCCGGGAGGCTGCGACACGGCATCCCCCGACAGTGCTGATGTAACGCATCCCCCCCCCCCCTTCCAGTCATTCCAACATTCGGATATTTTGAGTTTCCCCGAAAAGGTTATTTATTATTATTACATTTTCTTATTCTTTGGGTCGGTAAAGTCACGTAGATGGGTTCAAAGAAAATGACAAAACTACGACGTTTCGATCGCAACACGCGCGGTCGTCATCATTATTTTGTTCTTTTCTTGGAACCTAATCTACGTGGCTTTACCGAAAGACCCAAAGAATATGAATTCCTGCAGTCACGAAAGCTTTAAGTCACTATTAATCAATCGTTTTAATATTTATGTCCTTTATTATTATGTTCGCATTGTGAAATGTGATTTATAGGTGTGTGTTCTTTTAGGTAAGGAGTAGAGATGGAATGACTGTCCGAAACCCATCTCTAATTTTCGGTCTTAAGGGGGTAACGCCGTTCTGATTTGCGAAATTTCGTTTGACGAGCGTCTGTTGAAGAACGCATCCCTTTCCCAAATCTAGGAATGCCATCACTGTAACTTGCAAATTTTGCAAATGCCGACCCTCACGCCGGCGACGCGTGATGGCCAACTCCTGAGAGCGACGTCGGGGGATGTTTAACGTCCACTTTGAAGCAGATGGCGCTTGGTATGATAACGGTCGATAAGTCCCCCTTGTTGGCATTATTCGGGGTGGCCGCTGTATTCGAACCGTGACCCTCTGCAACACGAGGGAGAACGTGCATGCTGTCTGTTAGGCCGCGTCACGGGAATCGCTGCCGAACGAACCCTCAAAATATACCGGAGGAATCCGATAAGCTATACAGCTCTTTTTCACAGATGTCCAGTTGGAGGCGGGTTGGAAAGTTACAACAAACAATACAAAACACGATAGAAGTGCAACGTATAGGAGAGGTAAGCAAATCACTAAACAATTAAAATTTAACTTTCTAATTCTTGGTTCTTTCGGTAAAGTCACGTAAAAGGGAAAAATTAAATAATAAAAATAAAACAATAAAATACGTGACTTTACCGAAAGAACCAAGAATATGAATCCCTGCAGTCACGAAAGTTTTAAATCGAAATTTTACTTTCTAATTTACCAGGTAAAGCCCACTAGCTTTTCCGAAGTGATCTGTCCACAAATGATTGCTGAACGAAGTGGCTTGTGTGAATGTATAGCAGTCAAATCATTTAACCGCATGTTTCTAAATGCGGGGGGGGGGGGGGGAAACAAGAAGACCTGGATAAAAAATGCACGCGATCACGGGGAGGGACGTGCAAACCCAAAATGTACAGGTGTCAGGGTTGGGTTCGAACCCCTGACCCTCCTGCACAGCAGGCGAGGAAGACAACGTCACGCCACCGTGGCGACCATTGCCGTGTTCGTCTCCCTACGCCATCCACCCGCCACGCTCACCCCGATCTCACACCGCGTCCCACACTGACTCACCTGTCTCGCCCGTGCCCACCCCCCACGCAGACCCTGCCCTACTCTCTACCGGTTCGTCTGCACCCCGGCCACGTGGTCTACATCGAGGGCCGCGTGCCTAAAGACTCGGAAGGGTTCGTCTCATCGCAAATTAAATTATGATCACAATCGAGTTTTCACTACAACCACGAAGGCTACGATATTATAGGTGTTAGGCGAGTGCTAGTGGCCTGGGTAGTTGGGTGTGAGGCTGGTATGCGTATTTTGAACTTCTTCTACACCGTACAGAGTCAGCCGTGCTAATTGGAGGTGCAGAGTTTCTAGTGGCTGGGTAGTTGGGGTTTGAGCTCGTGATAGTGGTTGGGTTAGTACTAGTGGCTGGCTGGCTAGTTGAGTGTTGGGAGACCACGTGTTCTGTTCGCCAGCTGCCTGCTCTCGTCGGCAGTCTTGGTGCTTGCTCTCCGCGTCGGTGGCTCGTCCAATAAAAACGTCTCAAAGTGGAATTTGCACGCGGGTTTTACATCGATTCGTGATTCCCCTTCCCACAGAAAAGTACACGTACCCCGCTCGGGGCAGCGAGCTCAATCTCCCCCTTCCTCTAAACTAAAGAGCACAGCTTTTGGGACTTGTGTCCACGGAGTTTCTGTACCCCCCCCCCCCCCGTTTCCCCTTCTATATTGCGATTTGTGCTCTGTATCGGGCTCCTGTTGAAATATAATGCATTGATTGGTAATGTAAACTCTGTCGATGGGGTTTATTTTCGTCCCCCCACTATAAAAGTGTTTAAATTTCGATTTAAAGCTTTCGTGACTGCAGGGATTCATCTTCTTGGTTCTTTCGGTAAAGTCACGTAGAAGGGAAATAGTAAAATAATAAAAATAAAACATAATAAAATAAAACGTCGTGAGATTTATTTAATTATGTTTTATATTTATTATTTCCCTTCTATGTGACTTTACCGAAAGAACCAAGAATATAACATTGTCACATGCTCCCAATTTCCCCTCCACCCCGGCGCTTCCCTTCACGCCGCTCCCCCTCCAGGTTCACGGTGAACCTCTGCGGCAGGAACGCCGTCGCGCTGCGGGCGGACCTCCGCTTCGACGCCAAGCCGCTCGCCGGCTCCCGGTGTCAACTCGCCCTCAACGCCAAAATAAACGCCGCCTGGGGCCAGGAGGAGCAGCGTGCAGGGCTGCCGCTGTTCCGCGAGGTCGACTTTCAACTGTCCATCTCCATCAAGGAGGAGGGGTACCAGGTGAGCGAATCGTTATTTTTTGAGAGGTATTTTATTTACCAGAGTAGAGCATGCCTGATTGTGTGTGAACTTATTTTGCACTGTACGTAGCCAACCATGCTGATTGGAGGTGTGGGGGAAGGATAACAAGTTAAACACAAACAGTTCGAAAGAAATTCGTTTTCAATTTAGATTTAAAAGTGCGCGGTTTCCAGTGGCTTCTTCAAATCGGAAGGAAGAGCGTTCCAGACGGCCACAGAAGCGCATCTGAAAGTGCGCGATGCAGTTGACCGTCTTTGTTAGATGGCTGAGACAAAAGCCGCTGCGAGGCTGACCGGAGATCACGTGATGGTTTATGCTCCTTGATAAGATCGGCAAGGTATGATGATGATAATTGTGGACTAAAGATTAAATATTAATCCGTGAAATTGATGCGTTCGACGCACAAGCTGCCGTGTATAATCGGGGCTTAAATTGACACCCGGATGATTTCCCGGGTCGCCGATGAGCTGGAGGAGGTGGGAATGCCGCCACCTACTGAGAGTTTTTGTTTGAAGTTGAGCCCGGCTGGGCCAGGGATGGGACATGGCACCACCCCAGAGCAACCGGACAGCGCACGGACTTAAATATTTCTTGAACTGTCGTTTTAATAACAATTACATATATTTGATTACTCACAATATGTATTCAATTAAAAATAATTTAAATCACTTTTTTTCTTAAATATATTATAAAAAATTCCCATACTATCTGGATGCGCTTGTTGCTGACAAATTCCATGCCGCAGCCTCAGCTCTGGCCGTGTGTGCGGGGAGCGGTGGCACTGGTTAAGCGAACAAGGCGACCCGCCGAGTTCCATTCCCGCTCACGGCCAACACCAGGTGACGATTATCTGAACTGGTCCTGGGTCTTCCGTAGGTTGACTCGGCCTTAAATGAGGACCTGGTACAGACGTGTCAATATCAACACTTGGCGGAGACCTAAGGTGGCCGGGCGTGGTGCTGGCCACCCACCCACCCCCTCGTGTGCCGTGTCGGCCTTCATAGGTGTCACTCGCTAACAGCAGCTTCTTATTGGTTCTTTCGGTAAAGTCACATAGAATGGAAATAATAAAATAATAAAAATAAAACATTATAAAATAATTATTCCCGACAGACCTGTTCTTCACTTGAGGACGGCTGCTTGCATTGTGGCCGAAACGTCGTGAGAATTATTTTATGATGTTTAAATTTTTTTATTTCATTATTTCCATTCTACGTGACTTTACCGAAAGAACCAAGAAGATGAATCCCTGCAGTCACGAAAGCTTTAAATCGAAATGTAACAGCAGCCTGTTAAGGCTATGGCCGGTGTTCAGGGGTGGGAATCTGTGTCGTCCTTGACCTTTGCTTACAGCGTGTGTGCGGCGTGTGCAGGTGATGTGCAACGATAGCTCTGTGGTGCACTTTGCCCACCGCTTCGAGCTGCACTGGGTGGACCGCCTCGTGCTGCACCCCACCGCCTACATCTTCAAGCTGAGAATCCTCGCGCCCCTCGGCACCAACGTACGCGGCGGCACCACCGTGTGGCGTCCGTTCGTAGATTCCTCCACCCACCATCGGCAGCGGCGCACGCACACACACACTGCTTGTGGCCTTAGAAGGAAGTGTGTGTTTAATAGGCGGCACCTCTGGCAGTGGCCCTAAGTCGTGGGCCCCCCCCCCCCCCATCTTCACATGCTGTGAAGAATTTCCCATTGCCCAAATCGTTGCCTATTACTATACACTTTTTCTTCTCGGGTCAAAGTGTTTGAAGAATGCGAGTTTTTGTTATGCGGCTGTACGTCACTGGAGGGGACCCTGTGGCTGGTCCGTGGGCTGTGTCGGCCTGCGGCTTTATTTTGCATGTCTGCACAACCACATGAGGCCCGCCGATTTGGAAAGGTGTGCACCTTAGCGGCACCAATTGGGTACGAGAGGGCAATCCATTCATAGGTAGCCAGTGTTAAACGAAGCCACTTCGTGTCCTACCCCCTCGGCTACAGCTGATGTGCACCTCCTAACTTAACTACCCTCAACCCCCCCCCCCCCAAACATGTCTTGAGTGTCTTAATGTCGCCCTCCCTTCCTGCTTGCAAAATGATGGCTGCCTGCCCATCCCATCCCACCCCCCCTGTTTCACAAAGACCATCAAGTATGGATCCGATATCGTTGGAGGTCTTTTCCCGGGGAAGACCATCGTTATCGACGGCTGCGTGCCCCCGAAGGCGAAAAGGTAGATTTTCTTTTTTAACCAGGCGCCCTGCGGCACGTTGCAGCCCATGCAGACGGACAGCCCCCACCTCTCCCCCCTCCCACCTTCCGATTGAGAGTCGCGCGCCCGTCCCCAGCTCTCTCAGCGACTTCTCCTCTCGCCAGGTTCGCGCTCAACCTGCTGCAGTGCAGAACGGGCAACGTCGCACTGCAGGTGAACCCGCGCTTTGACGACGAGGAAGAAGGCGAGGTGGTGGTGAGAAACGCGCGCATCAACGGCAGGTGGGGTGAGGAGGAGCGCTTCTCTCGGGTGGCCTTCCCGTTCGCTCAAGGGCAGGCCTTCTTGGTGAGTTGTGCGGCTGTCCAGAGCACAGGCGGTGCAACTGCACAATCCAAAGTCGGGGGGCCCAGGCGTCGGGTCGGGGTGTGAAATGGTGGCAAAGTTTGGACAGTTGGACAGGGAAACGCCCCCAACCTCCCCCCCCCCCCCGCTGCCCAATTTACTTAGACTGCACTGTCGTCGCGAGAATCCATTTGTAAATTCCGAACGGCCATTCTGACAACAAAAATGTGAATATTTCTTTTAGGACTTGTCACCAAAAAAAACCTACAAGTCGCCTTCACGTTTTTTGCGCGCTGTCCCCCCACCCCCACATCGCCGAGATTGCTTTTAATTGACACGTCGATGCCTGTGACTTGCCGCGACCTGCGCTGTGTGCGTGCTCCAGTGCGTGCGTGTGCTCTCTGCCTGCAGCTAGAGGTGATCTGCGAGGAGGCCTACTTTGTGGTCAAGGTCAACCACGCCGTGGTCTTCACGTTCTCTCATCGCATTAAAGCCCTGGCGAGCATCACATGCTTCTTCGTCTACGGGGACGTGTCTGTCCACTAGGGCTCGCGGTGCCAATCTGCCCTGACCACCCATCCCTCCCCGAACCTCCAACTCCACCCTGGCCACCCATCCCACCCCGAACCTCCAACTCCACCCTGACCACCCATCCCTCCCCTCACATCAAACTCCACCCTGGTCTCCCATCCCTCTTTCCAGAGCAGATTCCGTTGTATGCCACGGGCTCGCGTGAGGTTGGATTGCAGAGCTCGTGCTATGAATGGAGCTCTTGGCGTGTATGAATATTTTTTTTGAGGCTGGTATTCGGCGATAAGCCGATTTGATTGAAGATCGCACTTGATTTTATTTCTCTCTCGTCTCGTCTGCTACTGCTACCACGATGGGCATTGGAGAAGTCTTATTTTCTACTGCTATTGTCAACAACAAAGTCGTTATTGTACGTCTCCTAACTTTTTCTCGATTATTGTTGTTACTATTAGGCATGACCACAAGCATCTCATCGGCAGTTTGTGTCATCTCTGCTGCCACTGATCATTACTGCATCCACCGCTGCTCGGGTTTCCTGTTTCCTGCCCCCCCCCCCGCTACTGCTCATCGGTCATTCATAAATCCATGTGATGTGAACCCGTCTCCTGGTGCCTCGGCTTCAATCAGGGGCCACTGGTGCAGTCTCCCACTCGTTTCTCCGGTACCGCTGCTGCAACGGTCGCTGCTTATCCAGAGCAGACTTCCACCTCCCCGTTAATAGAAAGCCTGCCCGGACAGTTCTGCCTCTCGGCCCCCCACTGCAGGGCAGCCACCTTTGTAGCAGGACAGAGACCCCCTTGAGCCCTCGCGTCTCTACCCCCTTGCACAGCTTGGAACTGGGAACGCCATTTTGCCCACGTGAGTTTTCTCGCCATCCCTCGTACAAGCGTGAAAGTAAATCTCGTCCGTCCAACTAATCGCCAACGACCTTGTGACCTCCGCAAATGAAATGCAAGGAAAAATTATGAGGGGGGGGGGGGTGGAGAAACGAAAGTGACCAGAGGGTTGGGATTTGCCTCCCTAAAATGTGGCTCTAATTGTGTGTCTAGCCTGGCGCGCGATTGCAAATAAAAAAAAATATTAATACAATTTTGGAGAGACTGGCAGTGGCACAGAACTGTGAACCAGGCTGACGGTGGGAGGGGGGGGATAAAAAACACGTGACGGTAAATGAATGAATGAGACGAGTCGTGAACCAAATGGTGGCCGCCACCCATCGCTGACAACATCGATTCGCTGGGGACGTGAATCATTGAAGCCGGGGGAGCTTCTTTTCGTTCTATTTTTGGCCGCATTCCGCTTCCTCTGCCAGCGATATTCGATAAGAAATTGAGTAACCCCTGGTTACCCGCCAAGAGTTATTAGGATTCGGCTCCAAACGGAACTTTATCTCGATGGGCCCAGCCGTTGGCCATGGCTGACCGATGTCCAGCCACGCACCCACAGCTTCACCATTTCCCCGCCATCGGAAACCAAAGTAGCACAGACGATGTCTGCAAATGAGGCCGGGCAGTGAGGAGGGAAATGTATGGTTACGGCCACAGAACGTTCCAGTGGGTTGACGACATCGTTCCTCGTGTCGTGTCCCGATTCCAACCCGCTCAAGCTTTTGTGAAAATCTGGAATGTGTCCCTTTTCCCCCAATCTAAAATGTTCTGACCGCACGATCGAGTCTTGATGCCCCCCGCCTCCCCCCAAAGGGCGCGGCTGGTCCAATGAAAAGTAACGAAAAATAATCCTCGCCATCAACAGTTGTGATGCTCTATGGCGAGGGGGGTAGAGTCACGGATACCCGGTCATCTAATGGGGAAAAATACAAATGAACGGGAAAGGGAAGACGGCAGAGAAAGCGTGTGAATTAAGAGGAAATGTATTGCTAAAATGGGACCAAAGATGCTGCATAAGGGCACGGTAATAGACCAGGTGTCAATAACCAATTTTTTTCGGGTTCTCTAAACTCAAAATTTCCACAATGCATTTGAGTACGAGGCGGGTGGTCTTTAACGTCACGAAGCGGTCAAAGAGCCGCGTGCACGTTGCCGGCCGCTGTAGGATCGGGCAATGTTGGCGGTTACTGCAGAGGATGCATTGCAAGGGCAATGCAGAGATTGTGAGACGCCACCCGGGACGAGGCGACATAGACTGAGAGGCGAGATGAGCGGGAAGGAAGGGATGCCGGGATGGAAGTCCCCCCAAGGCAGACGAGAGGGCACTGCTCAAGATGAGCAGCAGGGAGACGAGCGCAAGAAGGGGGAGGACGTAGGGTGGGGGGAGTACCGGACCAAGATGTCGGGATGAGAGGGTGATGAGAGGTGGAGGGAATACATGGAGAAGAGGAAGGAGCTAGCAGAAGCGTGCTGCGTGGAGTGGGGGGGGGTGTAGCGATTCGGAATGACGGTGGCCAGACAAGTCAAGTTTTGGGAGGCTTTATGTGAAACAAGAGGGGGCAGATGTTAATCGTGGTATCGCTATATATGGGTGTTTTTTAATTTTTAAAGCAGTTATTAGTGACTGGGAAAAACACCCATCGGCTCCCCTACATTTAACGAAAAACAAACCATGAGCGTCTACAGCCCGGGTGTGACCCTCATAATTCGTACTGGTGTCTGCCAGAGGTCGCAAACGGGTTTTGATTCCTTACCCGTACCCGGCCGCACCAGGGTCGCAAACGGCTACCCGTACCCGTACCTAATTGGTACTGGTGTCTGCTCGGTGGCTCAACCACCACGCCCGTGGTAGTGAATACCCCGAGAAGTTACCCGGCCGCATTGGGGGTAGCGCTGAAACGACTGCGATTACCGCTAACGAGATTACCGCTAACGACCTGGCGACGCTCGAGTTTACGTGTAAGAGTCATGAACTCGCCAAATCACACGTGCATTCATTCGGCCCACAGTGATGCATTCATTGCTACAATCGCCCTTATGTGAGGCTTGGAGTGTGGTACACCTGTGGGGGGGAGGGGGTCTTTGCAATAATAGCACTCCTGAAAAATGACAATTAGCGCAACACATTAGCAATGGGTGTGGCGAGTTTTACCAGACCGAGTGCCGAGTATGATGTTCATTGCCTCTGGTGGGCAAACACAACATTAACTCGCGCACACGCCAGGCAACTTCCGACCATTGCAAAAATGTTCCTTCCAGCGGCGACAAGTGGCTACTTGAACGCGCTTAAAGTTAACGCTCTAAGGCAGGCTGAATCTGCCGATGGGATGCTGAAAATCGAGACCTCTCCATAGTTGTATTGTGCAGTCGATGCCGCTGAATGTGTGCGCTCCCAGAAGGCCGTGTGGCTGACGGGATGTGGGGAAAATACTTTATGAAATCCTTTATATTAAGTTCGCTTGCTTGCGCGCTTACGACCGTGCAAATCTTTCGGTCGTTTTTTAACCCACTTCCCGTGATCCAATCGAGCTGACATTTTCCACACAGACTCGTTGTGCGTGACAATTAATTTTCGTGAATTTTTTTTTCCAAAATTTGACACTTTTTAGGAACAACAAATTATATGTAATTACCAATTGCTTAATGGCGCACAACCAATCATCTGACCCATAGGTGGCAGCCATCTCAAGCCAGAGGACGAGAGGACTCTAGCCGCCACGCATATAAAGGATTTATAGGGAAAAACTTTGTTTTTACGGGTTAATTTTTAAAGTAGTTTTTTACGGTGGATCTCAAATGATGTTGCAAGATTCCCTTCACCGCGGGTGTCGTGGAGGTTGCTATGGCCCTGGCTCGCCACGAGAGGGCGGTACAGCAAAAACACAATTAGACTGTGGATACCTGTTACATCTGTTTTGGATAGAGCAGAGGTCGGCCAGCAACGTAACAAGAAGAGCCATTTCTTCTTCTTATTATTACATGCTTTTATTTCACTCACTTCGTCTGTTGTATCCTCAAAAAAGAAATCTTGTAACTCAATTTTTACACACTTCCCAATGTGCTATCGACTGAAAACTTCGTATAGGTATGTCATACTGGTGACAATACGATATTCTATCAAGAAATATATATTTTAAACAATCTTTTTAACGGCTCTAATTGTCCCCGTTTCCGGCTCTAATTGTCGACGCTCAACTCACGTTGCCTGTAAATCACCACGTGGTCCCTTACTTCGCGGCAAGCCTCGGGGAGCCACGCCGAGGGGCGGGGGATGTGGAAGGAGGGGAGGGGCGATGGGGGAAGGGGGCAGGGGGAGGGGCAGCTCGGACAGTACATTTCATTAAAGCGTGTTTAAAAAAAAGTATTTTTTTATTTTCGACCAATTCGGTAACAACAAAAAAACACCCCTCAATAATTCAAGAGCCGCAATGCGTCTGAACGCGAGGCGGTGGTCCTGAATAAATATCGCCACGGTGCAGTCCTTAATGAGCCGTCCGCATTGCGGCATCGGAGCCTCAGGTTTGCCGACCCCACCCCCCCCCCTGGGATTGAGTGCTTCACCCTCGCACGCGTGGGTTTTCTCCGGTGCGCTCACCGTTCCCTCCCATATGTAAACGCTCGTCCATTGGCCGATAAGCGCCACGATATATTGGTGGAGGACAGCAGAGCTTGGGCAATTGTGGGCACCCGCTCGTGGCGTGGCTGCCGCCTTCCCACTCGTCTTTGGTTCCTGGAGCCTCGGAGTCGTCCTTTCTCTCTCTTTCACTTCCAGAGCGAGCGGATGCCGTGCATAGGCGCGTGACAAGTTTAAACTTTTACCGGCAATCCATTGATCAGCAATCTTTGTTTTTATTTGGCAATCGATGACCTCGCGATCGGAAGCCCTGCTATTCTAGCTGCTTAGCTGCAGGTGACAGTTTCGATTTAAAGCTTTCGTGACTGCAGGGATTCATCTTCTTGGTTCTTTCGGTAAAGTTACGTAGAAGGAAAATAAAAAATAAAAAAATAAAAATAATTATCACGACGTTTCGGCCACAACGCAAGCAGCCGTCCTCAGGTGGAAGACGGCTGCTTGCGTTGTGGCCGAAACGTCGTGATAATTATTTTATTATGTTTTATTTTTATTATTTTATTATTAGCCGTCTTCCACCTGAAGACATTGTGGCCGAAACGTCGTGAGAATTATTTTATTATGTTTTATTTTTATTATTTTATTATTTTCCTTCTACGTGACTTTACCGAAAGAACCAAGAAGATGGAGGTGACAGCTTCACTAACACATGTACACGTGTTTATATTTCAGTGTTAAGTACAATAAATAAAACAACCAAAATATATATTTTTAAAAAAAGTTTAATAAATACACGATAGTAACATATGCAGATTACAGGCCTAACTTTTATATAACAATAATGAGTGAAAATCAGTTTATGGTGATTGCAGTGGTTATTGCACTGCACTATGAGCCCAGAAACCTGAGTTCGATTCCTGGCCACGGCTAACATAAGTGGCGAGCGATACCCGAACCGGTCCTGTGCTCCCCTCCACAACCCCCTTCACCAATCATGCACGAACCGGTGTGGTGAAGTATGGTCAAACGACCCCCCACAACCGACAGGGTGTAGGAAGGTCTTCATCCTGCA